GTGTGGCTAAAATGTATGAATTAGCTACACAATTTTATTGTAGCAATAAATTTGTAGCTATTTAGGCAATTATTGCTACGATTGTTAGTAATTATAGCAAAAATAAGGAATTAGCTTTACCAATTTAATTTCGTGGCTAGCAAATTTTACAAATTTGTAAATAGCTAGGAAATTCTAATTCTTGTGGCTATTGTTCGGTATTAGCCACAATTTTTAAATTTATAACGTAGCTATAAATACCTTATGTTGTAGTGAAAATTAATTTACCTATAGAAAAATGATATATCGTGTGTGTTGGCGTTTTGCAATAAAATAATAAGGAACCGTATTCCTTTTGTTGGAAAAAGAGGCGATGCAATATGAGTTCTTGTCCTTGTCAAGTTGGTATGGCTGTAGACTTAAGAATAAGTAGGAAACATGATCGGATTAGAATCCCATGCAATTAATATTACAATTTTATTCAACATGAAATTATATTTTGAAGAAATAATTTATTTTTTGAAGGGCAAAAAAGTCAATTAAAATTTCGGAATATTTTAGTCGTTCAACATTTAGCTTTTAACATTCCTGCTTTTATAATAATATAATATAATAATATAGATAGATAGATAGATAGATATAGATAGATAGATAGATAGATAGATAGATATAGAATCAGAGATAGATAGATATAAATATAGATATAGATTAACGGAGGATATATTTAGATTATTTCAGAAAGTTCATAGATAGATTTGATCATTTTTCCTTTATTTTTTCTTTCACTTACCGTCTTTCATCTTTCAAAAAACCACTTCGTACTTGTTTCGCAAATTATCTCATACTTATTGCTAATCATTTGTTAATAATAATATCTTGCAATACTGATCTTCAAATCACAAGAAAATATTTATGAGTTATAACAAAAACCTTTCGTGTTTAAAAGGACTCAAGATTTATAATTATTTATTCATAAATTATGATAATATACCTCATTTTAAGTTTCAATTAAAATTTTCTTTGTTTAAAATGATAAAATTTTGGTAAGTTACTATGTCATATTAAATATAGTAATAAGGTCCGGTCAAATTTAAGTTTATAGCTAACAAATGGAGACAAGTTTTAAGGGTGATTGTATATCTTATCTATTACCTTATCCAATGCTATTAATATGATGCACTTTAATGGGTACAGAGTATAAAAAAGAAAAAAATTAAAATTTATGGTCCAAAATATGTCATAAATAATTGTATGATTATAAATTATAAATTAAGAAGTTTAAAGTTAAAGTTTTTAAAATAAATTTATCAATTTTGTTGAGTCAGACTAAAAAAAGGTACATCACATATTTTGAGAGTTTGTGACAGTAGAAAAACTATTTATTTGGATAACTTGTCTATGAACCATGGGATCTGTCACAGGCGCGTTTTCAGTCCGCCGAAAACCAGCTTGCGCGGCAGCCAAGACACGCACTTGACTTCAGCCTTCACAGTACTTAGCCAAAATTTCAGCAACTTTGGACTTAGAATATTTTTAGGCAGCTTCAACGTAGTAAGTTTTTGTACTGATTTAGGCAACGAAAAATAAGTAAAGGCAACAGAAATTTAGATGAACACAAGGCACAATATACAAAAAATACTTTCCCAACTTTGTATTTAACTCGAGCATACAAAGAAATTCAATTCAAGGTACAGCCGTGAACAAAAGAAGATTACTCTTGACCCTCAGATTTTTCTCACAAAGACTACTCTTAGTCTTAACGTTTTCACTCTTGAAAACGGCTTAAACATGCACTCTCACACGTTTTTCTCTTATGCCACAAGCATAAGGGTGCTGCCCATTTATAACACATGAACCAGCCCCTTTGCCTTACATTAGTTGCACTTAGGCTTACACATTTGTCCCACATAGCCCACTATTTTAGCCTAATGTAGTTGACAACCCCCAACTACTAGGAACATGTAAAAATCATGCCAATAATAATGGAAACATGGCCAAAAACGTGCTAACTCCCATCTGCCAGCATTTTGAACAAAGCCAACTGCTGCCCATGTGCACAACATGTGCCGTAACCGCTCTTGACTTGGTCAATCTGAAGCTTGTTGCCCATTTTTGTGCCTTGGCTTGAATCAAGCGCCAATGCCATTGTATCCAGCTGCATTGTAGCCACATTTTGCCTATGCCATTGCCTATGAACATGGCCCTTTGCCGTGCCCCAATGCCATGACAAGTTTGTCCCGCGCACTGCCTTCCGTTGCGCTTTAGCCTGCCTTTGCCACTTCGTTTTTGCCTTGCCTTGGCATCACTGCCTCATGCCTTGATTCTTTTTCCATGATCAAGTGTCACCCTTAACCCGCAACTCATTTTCAAGCCCTTGCCAAGCTGCCTCGCCTCCGTCAAAGCCTTGACCATCACTTGCTCGTTTCCCTTTTTTCGTGGTGCTACTCGTGCACCTGGCTTGCAACACTCTTGCTGCCTCATGATAACGCTCTTGTTGTCAAGTCAAGATCAAAGCGGCGGAGGTCTAACAAACCACCCACACCCTTTGAAACTCGACGTCCTCGTCGAGGTTAGCTCAATTTATGAGTCCTAAGGGGTTGACAAGCAACGCCTCTTGGCCTCCCTTCTCTTCAGCTACAATTGCATTCAATCCACCCACTTGTTTGTCGCTGGTCATTGCCTCTAATGCAGCCCTCTTATCCGCGGCAGTCATAGCATTTAACACTGATTTCTTTGGGTAGTCCCTTGCTCGATGTGGCCCATCACAAAGGAAACCACCACTGAATTTGCTGCCCTTCTCCTTGCTCTTTGAAGTACCAGCCTCATGCTTTCCCTTCCCCTTGTCTTCATTAGCATTGTTGTTTTCACATTTCTTCCACTCCTTTGCCTTGTCATTCTTTTCGTCGTTGGACTTCGAAGCAGAAATCTCATCACTCAAGTGAAAATCGCCCGATGCATCAACCGCAGCCATAGCACTTGCGAGGTTTTGAATATTCTGCCTTTGCAACTCCAATTGTGCCCATTGTTGCAGCTCGCTCATGAAGTTGTGCAATTTGTCTTCTTCCGACATATTGCTGATGCTCAACATCGAAGAAGTGAACTCTTTGACATATGCTGTAACCGATCCGGTTTGCTTCAACTTTTTCAGTTTGTCCCTAGCAATCCAAGACGTATTGCTAGGAAGGAACTGATCCTTCAATTCCTTTTTAAGCCGCTCCCACAACGCAATCTTTGGTCTGCCCAAACTTTCATCTTCAGACACACGAGTGCGCTACCATAACTTAGCATCTTCACTCAAATACATGCTAGTCAAGGTTACTTTCTCTTTCTCATCTTGCACACGAATAGCACGAAAGTACTGCTCCATATCCCAAAGAAAATTCTCCAATTCACGTGCACTCCTTGCACCACCAGATGCCTTAGGTTCAGGAATTTTCACCTTGAGACGATCAGCACCACGTTGAGGAGCATCCTCGCCCACAACACGTCGCAGCACCACAATCTCGGCTTTCAGATCCACATTCTCTTGACTTAGCCTTGCCAATTCTGCTTCAAGGTAGGGAAGCCTTGTCACGAGAGTCTGAATTTCTTCACCTTCAGGAAAATTTTCCACCAATGCCTCCAGTTTCGTTAGCCTTTCCCGAGTTCGTTGTTACCACCGGCCATGTTTTCAAACAAAAACAAGAAATCTGCCACTGCCCGTTGTGTCTCCGTCATAACCTGCCCCGCTCTGATACCCCCAATTGTCACAGGCGCGTTTTCAGTCCGCCGAAAACCAGCCTGCGCGGCAGCCAAGTTCCGCACTTGACTTCAGCCTTCACAACACTTAGCCAAAATTTCAGCAACTTTGAACTTAGAATATTTTTAAGCAGCTTCAACGTAGTAAGTTTTTGGATTGATTTAGGCAACGAAAAATAAGTAAAGGCAACAGAAATTTAGATGAACACAAGGCACAATATACAGAAAACTATTTTCCCAACTTTGTATTTAACTCGAGCATACAAAGAAACTCAACTCAAGGTACAGCCGTGTACAAAAGAAGATCACTCTTGACCCTCAGATTTTTCTCACAAAGACTACTCTTAGTCTTAACGTTTTCACTCTTGAAAACAGCCTTAAACATTCACTCTCACACGTTTTTCTATTATGCCACAAGCATAAGGGTGCTACCCATTTATAACACATGAACTAGCCCCTTTGCCTTACATTAGTTGCACTTAGGCTTAGACATTTGTCCCACATGACCCACTATTTTAGCATGTAGCTGACAACCTCCAACTACTAGGAACATGTAAAGATCATGCCAATAATAATGGAAACATGGCCAAAAACGTGCTAACTGCCATCTGCTAGCATTTTGAACAAAGCCAACTGCTGCCCATGTGCACAACATGTGCCGTAACCGCTCTTGACTTGGTCAATCTGAAGCTTGTTGCCCATTTTCGTGCCTTGTCTTGAATCAGGCGTCAATGCCATTGTATCCAGCTGCATTGTAGCTACATCTTGCCTATACCATTGCCCACGAACATGGACCTTTGCCGCGCCCCAATGCCATGACAAGTCTGTCCCGCGCACTACCTTCCGTTGCACTTTAGCCTGCCTTTGCAACTTCGTTTTGCCTTGCCTTGGAATCACTGCCTCATGCCTTGACGCCTTTGCCATGATCAAGTGTCACCCTTAGCCCGCAACTCATTGTCAAGCCCTTGCTAAGCTGCCTCGCCTCTGTCAAAGCCTTGGCCATCACTTGCCCGTTTCCCTTTTTCCTTGGTGCTACTCGTGCACCTAGCTTGCAACAATCTTGCTGCCTTATGACAACGCTCTCGTTGTCAAGTCAAGCTCAAAGTGGCGGAGGTCTAACAGGATCCTTGTATAGTTGTATCTATTGGTGGATAATGGATTCACACATAAATTGAAGTCCTAAAGAGTTAAAGGACCCAATTGACTTATTTGAAAACTTTAGGCACCCAACATAATTTGGATTTTGGGGACAAAGATTTATAAGCTCGTCTACAAATCACTGGAAAGCTAAATCTGGCAAGACTTCCGACGGGAACTCCTCCGTTTTCAAACTCTCCACGATGGAGAGTCATAATATCAGTTGTTGTAACTCTGTAGACGACGTCGTTTCGCAGTTACCACTTCAGCTGATCAAATCGGAGATCATCCCTCCGACACCGAACCGATCAAAATCTCCGTCCGAATTCGAGCCAGCAATTGACTGGCAGCCTAACTTCGCTGGCTACTCATGGATTGCCTACGGTGCCTCGTCTCTCCTCGTCATACGTCAATTCCCTAATCCTCTCTCACAAACTGAGACTGTAATCGGCACAGTTTTTCAGCAGGTCCTCGAGCTGTCAATCGACGGCACTGGCACTGTCTCCGCCGTTGCTTGGTCCCCGGTGACGCCTTCTTCTGGAGACCTTGCCGCCGCACTCGATAACTGCATTGGATTGTTTTCTTACAATTCTGACGCTTCTCATAGTAAGTTTCAGTTTCCTGATCTCGCTCTCGAATGTATATACTAGTATGCTATGTAGTTGATTACTTTTTTATACTTTATTAATCTATAAAGGAACAATCTTTTTCCTTTCTCTATCTATCCAGCACTGTCTTGTTGCCTTTTTGATTAACAACGTTACTTATCTAGAAGTGTGTATACTATTCCGGTACATGTTCGCTGCTTTAGTTTGGATGAATATTGAAGATATATCCCCTGTAATTTGATGTAGAACTGCTTTCATTCTGGATCTCTGGATCAAGAAATATGCGTGGTACAGTCGATGCATGAGTTGCAGTGTAATGCATTGGAGAATGGCCATAATATTCTTACACTAGGAGCGAATGTTTTGGCTTGTTGTCCTCTGGCAGCAATTTAAGTTACCTGTATTATGGTCCTTGGGTTGGAGTTGTAGAAGACAATTCTCTGATCACAGCGCAAAACTGACTAGAGAACTAGAGAGTAAAATTCAATAAATTTAATCAACCACATCTCAATCACAAATTAGTTAGGGTGGGTTACTGAAATCCATGTGTTCATTTTGCTTTATTTTAGCCTATTTCATTTCAACAGTCCAACACTGAATTATTTAAGGCCAATTAGGGGTTCTTGAAAACTAGAGGTTAAAGCTAGATGAAAATCAATGCCTAACGAGAATGCCCGGGGGGTGTCCAACTTGGTGAAAGGGTGCTTTTTTCTTTGGTACGTTACATAGTTAGAGCTGCGTATCATCTAAGTGTACTTGGAAATAAAATTAATACTCTTGCAGTAGTTGGATCCTATGCGCTAAACTCAAAAGCTATTCTGTTTAGGAGGTGATCTGGTTCTGACTGGATATGAATATGGAACTTTAAGCAATTGTTTTGCTAACATTAGTTACTATTATTGGTTAATTGGATATTAAATATCTCTCTCTCTCTCTCCCCCCTCCCTTCCATCCCTCTTAGATGTATAAATTTATTTACTCATATTCAGGTTCTTTTTGTTGGAGCCAGACCTCAACACTAGTGCAATCTACAAAGGTGGACTCAATCACATGGACGGGATCAGGAGATGGGATAGTTTCAGGTGGCATTGAATTGATATTATGGAGAAAGAAGGAGAGGTCGTGGGAAATAGCTTGGAGATTTAAACCAGAACTGCCTCAGACTCTGATTTCTGCTACTTGGTCAATTGAAGGACCTTTGGCTGCTGCACCTTCACATAGTGAAGGTTCGGGTTCAAAAATCCATGCAGGACACAAATGTGTTTTGGTATGTCAAAGAGATGCAGACTCCGGACATTCAGAAGCTATGCTGCCCCATCCGTTACCAGTTTCTATGATTCAGTGGAGACCATCTTTAGTTACACATTCAACTAGAGATGGCAGCTATTCTAGGAGGTTGGTGTTATTAACATGCTGTTTAGATGGAGCTGTAAGGCTCTGGAATGAGATTGATGATGGGAGGGTTAGAAAAGTTGGCAAGGATAGTAATGATCACAAACTGAGTAAATTCTCTTTTCGTGTTGTCGCTGTAGTTGAGGTAAACCAAGCATTAAATGGAATGCTGGGCTTGGATGTGTCTGTAAGATGGGCAACAGATATTAGTGGTTTAATAACTGTCAATGAGGAAGCTGTGACATATTCCTCATCAGATGAACATCAACAAAGCAATGCTGGTAGGTGTGAATGGTTGATTGCCATAGGTCCTCAAACGACACTGACCTTTTGGGCTATTCATTGTCTTGATGATTTTTCTCCAGTGAGAGCCCCAAGGGTGACATTGTGGAAAAGAAAAGAGTTGAACAGTCCTAATGAGGTGCCAAGGGGATTGCTCTTAAATAAAGTCCTTATCATGAGAAATCAGGTCTTTGGTCCACCAGCAGTGTGTTCTTTTATTAGTCTATTACCAAGTAACTCTCTAGCCTGGATGCAGTTATATTCTTCAAAATTCCCCAAAGGTGAAGAGGTATCTTCAGAACTGAGTAGTACAGACGAGTCGCCTCCAAATAAATGTCAGACTGAATGTTTACTATCACTATGTGCAAGGGGACTTTCAAATGCAGACAGTCACTGCAGTAAAATTCTGCAAGTTGCAATTCATCCTTGTTTATCTGAGTTGGAATTTGCTGCCTCCCTGGACACTGATGGAAAGCTCCTCTTTTGGTTGTTTTCTTCTGCTTCAAATACTATTGTGGGCCTCCCAACTTTGAGCCCATCTTGGAAACTGTTTGGAAAAGGTGCGATTGCACTCCCTCAACAACCCAAGTATACAAGCTTAAGATGGGCACCCACTCTGTTAAGTGAAGACCACCGTATTCTTGTCACTGGACATGCAGATGGAATAGATTTATTAGTAGTTAAGGCTGTGAAAACTGAAGAATTGGAAATAGTTTGTGACAAAATATGTACTATACCACTTACTGCTGGAAGTCATGGGCAGGGCCCGGATAGCGTCTTTTCAATTCCGTTGCCTTCCACTTGTAACAAAACTATTTTAAATAGCTTTTTGCTGTTTGCTGTGTGGGAAAAAGGCTTTCAGGCATTATCGTGGAAAATTAACCTTCATCACTATGATTTGTCGGAAACACGCTGTGGTTGCAGTTTTGACAGTGGAAACACCTTGCAGAACAATATATGGAAATTTGAGAGTAGTTATTCTGGTTATAGGTACCTTGTCTCTGTTGAACCTTCTTCATCAGTTTTGCCAGAGCCCCATGACAATGGTAAGATTTCAAGTTATGCTGTGATCTGTCCCACAAACTCTGGTTTAACTGAAGAAATTTTTGCTAATAATTTATATAGCAACTACTTTGCTTATCATATGGTCACTGGTTGTCTTGATGGTAACTTGCTATTATGGAGAAGTGTGCCTGCTGGGAGCTCGAATTCTCAATGGGATCTTGTTGGTAGGATTGCTTTGCAGCAAGGCCCTATTTTGGCTATATCTGCAAGTGTCTGTGGCAGAAAAATTGCAACTATCTCGAAAGGTCACTTAAGTACTTCTGCTATTCATATATGGGAATGTGCGAGAATTGAGGACGCTGGCAGCTTTATACTAGAAGACACTTTATATTTTGATGCAGAGGTTGTTGCTTCAAATTGGTTGACGATAGGGAATGGTCAGTTTTTACTTGGAGTTTGCTCAAGAGGTAAGGTGCAGGTGTTTACTCAAAAGCGGTGTGGAGGTCAATGCAATTTGGAACCGGAAAAATCATTTGAAGGCAACATCTGGGTATGTCTTGCAGCAAGTGATACTAACCCTACCATTCAAGACTTCTTTTGGGGACCCAAAGCCATGATAGTGGTTGTTCATGATGAATATATTTCTCTATTTAGCAAGTTCTCATACTTTATGAACAAGAAACTTCTGCCCCAGCTTGGTGGAAAAGTCTGCAAGCAGAGTTCTGTCTGTCACTATGGTTCTAATAAAGTGCCAATATTTTATGGTCATGAAAATTGTGACTATGCACAGTATCAGGCTAATTTTCCCTTGAAAATGGAAGTGGTCAATGAGACTTCACTGTTTAGTAGCTTGACAAAATCTAAAGAAGGCTTTACTTCTGTTAAAAATGGGATCTGGAGCATTTTAGAGATAGCAGAACTTGTAGGAGGATCTCTTCCTCTTGTTCACCCAGAGGCAATTCTTGTAAACTTACTTTCAGGTATTTATGATTTGGTTGATGCTCTTTCGCTTCCCCCACTCCCCTAACTCAAATACCCAAGTCCTCTTCTTCTTTAATGGAAGACGTTTTAGTACGATTTAGGCAAACCATTTGTTGTGTTCTTACGAATTAATTTGTGGTTGACTGCTTTAAGGAACTTACATGTGCATCTAGGAAGTAAATTCTATTATATCTGAGCTTTTAAACCAAATAATTAGCAGATTCTTGACAAACAAAACTGAATTACACTCTTTACTCTTCAGCTAGTAAACTCAAATATTTCTTGTATAAGCATACAATTTGAACAAAATTCTCCATTGTTAATCTACTTTTCGTGATACTTATAGGATCCAAATTTTGTCTCTCATCAGCAGAAATTGTCTTGTAATAATCGTCCCGTTTTGACCAATGGATCTTATTGTTTATCTTATTAGGCTTTCCTTTTCTTTTATGAACTAGGTAACATATGTCCGTGTCCTGCTTGCCTTACAAATGAACAGGTTTATTGTCCAATTAGTATTTCTATATGATGGTATCCTATGTGCTCTCTTTGAAAACCAATCATCTTAGTTTTGTGTAAAAGTTAAGTTTCTGAAAGTAATGACACATGGACTTTTATTTTAAAGTTAAAATCTTGTTTCTTGACTGTTTTCTGAAGAATTGATTTGCTCTAGGGGAAAAAAAGTTAAAAAAAGAGGAGGTAAAGGTGCATTTTTTGAGAGAAGGGTAAATCTATTAATAGATAATAGTAAAGATTCATTTTTAAGTTGGTTTTGGTTAAATACTAGTTAAATGCCTCGAGTATCGTCCTTAGGAGGACAAGAAGTCACTTGATGAGCTCATTAGGGATAAATAAACTAGGAGGAGAAATTTAATTTAGTGTTGTTTGGTTTTAATACGTAGTATCTGGCCCTCCTGATGTGGGAAGATCAGAATTTCTTTGCGATTTATCCTCATTCTTATCTTTTTGTCCTATTGTAAGACGTTACAGAATTCAGCAGCAACGCTATTCTTTAGTTTAGCAACTGGTATCCATCTTTCCTTCTGCCAAAACCTGGTCTTATGAAGGAAAGAAAACTTGATAAGGAATTGAGCTTGTTTTTTAAGTTTATTCCTTGTCTTCATTTTTAATTCTTAGGCTCTCCTAGTGAACTCACGATGGTGATATTCGGTGTTGAGAATTTAAACCAAAGCTGGTTAAAATACATTAAACTTTGTGAAATCGTTTCAGCTGTGTGCAATTTGGTTCTTCAGCATTGTGAGAATGCACGGTAGAAAATATTATTGATATTATTCTCATATGTTAAACATGATACAATGAGCCCTATATATATATATATATATACATAACATGTCCTACTCCTAATACATATGGGATTAGGGTTATTTACTACTATTTACATAACTATTCTAACACTCCCCCTCAAGCTGGTGCATATAAATCATATGTACCGAGCTTGTTACATATGTAGTTAATACGAGGACCAGTGATGGACTTGGTGAAAATATCTGCAAGCTGATCATTCGACTTCACAAACTTTGTAGCAATATCTCCCGAGAGTATCTTTTCTCTGACTAAGTGACAGTCAATCTCAATGTGTTTAGTTATCTCATGGAACACTGGATTTGACGCAATATGAAGAGCAGCTTGATTATCACACACAAGTCCCATCTGACTAATCTCGCCAAATTTCAACTCCTTGAGCATCTGTTTGATCCAAATTAGCTCACATGTCGCCATAGCCATTGCTCGATATTCTGCTTCTGCACTAGGCCGAGCAACCACATTCTGTTTCTTGCTCTTCCAAGATACTAAATTTCCTCCTACTAAGACACAATATCCAGAAGTAGAACGTCCATCAGAAGGTGATCCTGCCCAATCAGCATCTGAGTATCCAACGATCTGCTCATGGCCTCGATCCTCAAACAATAAACCTTTGCCTGGAGCTGATTTTATATACCGAAGAATGCGAACAACTGCATCCCAATGACTATCACACGGAGAATCCATAAACTGACTCGCAACACTCACAGGAAAGGAAATGTCAGGTCTTGTCACTGTAAGGTAATTTAATTTACCAACCAACTGCCTATATCTTGCAGGATCGCTAAGAGGCTCCCCCTGTCCTGGCAGAAGTTTAGAATTCGGATCCATCGGAGTGTTAACAGGTCTACAACCTGTCATTCCTGTCTCCTCAAGAATATCTAAGGCATACTTCCGTTGTGAGATCACAATACCTGAGCTAGACTGAGCGACCTCAATACCCAGAAAATACTTTAGTTTTCCCAGATCCTTAGTCTGAAAGTGTTGAAAGAGATGTTGCTTCAATTTAGTAATACCATCCTGGTCATTGCCGATAATAACAATGTCGTCAACATAGACCACCAGACAAATACAAAGACTCGAAGCAGAATGCCGATAGAATACAGAGTGATCAGCTTTACTCCGAGTCATGCCAAATTCCTGGATAACTGTGCTGAACTTACCAAACCAGGCTCGAGGAGACTGCTTTAGACCATAAAGTGACCGGCGCAAGCGACATACAAGGCCACGAGACTCCCCATGAGCAACAAACCCAAGTGGTTGCTCTATATAAACTTCATCCTCAAGGTCACTGCGGAAAAAAGCATTCTTAATGTCCAGCTGATAGAGGGGCCAATGGCGAACAACAGCCATGGATAGAAAAAGACGGACTGATGCTATCTTAGCCACGGGAGAGAAGGTATCACTGTAATCGAGCCTAAATATCTGAGTATATCCCTTGGCAACAAGACGAGCCTTAAGACGATCAACCTTACCATCCGGACCAACCTTGACTGCATACACCCAACGACAACCAACAGTAGATTTACCTGAAGGAAGAGGGAGGAGCTCCCAAGTACCACTCGTATGTAAAGCAGACATCTCGTCAATCATAGCGTGTCGCCATCCCGGATGAGACAATGCTTCACCCGTAGACTTAGGGATGGAAACAGAGGACAAAGAAGATAGAAAAGCATAATAGGGTGATGACAAACGATGATAACTTAAACCGACATAATGGGGATTAGGATTAAGGGTGGTCCGTATACCTTTCCGAAGTGCAATCGGTGTACTAGGAAGAGACAAGTCCGCAGTAGGAGCAAGGTCAGGTGCAGGACGTGAATCAGCTGGGCCTGATGCTGGGTGCGGACGACGATGATATGTCAAGAGTGGTGTTCCTGTGGCGGGGAGTCTAGGAGGAGCCACACTAGACTCCCCAACGGTTGGAATGGGTAAGACTTCTGTGGCAGAAGGTGAAGGAGGAGCTATAGTAGACTCCTTAAAGGCCCGTATAGGTAAGACCTCAGATATATCAAGGTGGTCAGAATGGTAAGAAGAGGTAAAGAAAGGTTTAGACTCAAAAAATGTGACGTCAGATGACATAAAGTACCTACGAAGATCAGGTGAGTAACAACAATATCCCTTCTGAACACGAGAATAACCAAGGAAGACACACTTGAGAGCACAAGGAGCTAACTTATCTTTCCCAGGGGCTAAGTTATGAACGAAACAAGTGCTCCCAAAAACACGAGGGGGAACAGAGTATAAGGGTGACTGGGGAAACAATACTGCATACGGAATCTGATTCTGGATGGGAGATGAAGGCATCCGATTAACCAAATAACAAGCTGTGAGAACTGCATCGCCCCAAAAATACAACGGAACATGAGATTCAATGAGAAGTGTGCGAGCAGTCTCAATGATGTGCCTATTCTTTCTCTCTGCAACCCCATTTTGCTGAGGGTTATAAGGACAAGAGGTCTGATGAATAATTCCTTGAGAAGTCATAAACTGCTGAAATTGAGAGGATAAATATTCTAAGGCATTATCACTGCGAAAAGTGCGAATAGAAACACCAAATTGATTTTTAATTTCAGCACAAAAATTCTGGAATATAGAAAATAACTCAGAACGATCTTTCATTAAGAAAATCCAAGTACATCTTGAATGATCATCAATGAAACTAACAAAATAACGAAATCCCAAGGTTGAACTGACTCTACTAGGACCCCATAAATCAGAATGAACTAAAAAAAAAACAGACTCTGCATGACTCTCAAGACTACGAGGAAAGGAGGCTCGGGTATGTTTCCCGAGCTGACATGACTCACACTCTAATGTAGATAAACTAGACAAACTAGGCACCATCTTCTGAAGCTTGGATAAGTTTGGATGTCCTAAACGTCTGTGAATGAGGTCCGGAGGATCTGTAACTAGACATGCCTTGGAGGAATTGAGTGAGTTAAGGTAGTAAAGGCCTTCTGATTCAAGTCCTGTTCCAATCGTCTGTCCCGTACTGCGGTCCTGCATAATAAAAGAATCATCAATAAAATATATACCACAATGGAGGGCACGAGTCAAACGACTAACAGATGCAAGATTAAAAGGACAGCCAGGGACATAAAGAACGGAATCTAGAGTGACAGGGGGTAGGGGATTCGCTTGTCCAACTCCTTTTGCTTTGGTTTGAGACCCATTGGCTAAAGTAACAGTGGGAAGAGACTGTGAATACGCAATATTTGACAAAAGTGATTTATTACCAGAGATATGATCAGAAGCGGCTGAGTCCACAACCCATTGTCCAAGAGGACTAGACTGGGAAACACAAGCAAAAGAATTACCAGCAACAGAAGTATCAGTCTGAGCAACAGAGGCTACTTGTGGAGATGTCTGCTTACTTGCTCGATACTGAAGGAACTCATTATACTCCCCTTCAGATAAAGAAAATCCCTGGTTACTTGTAGTCTCGGTCTGAGCAACATAAGCATTTTTGGGTGGACAACCATGTAAAGAATAGCACACGTCACGAGTGTGTCCAAGTTTATGACAATAAGAGCACTTGGGTCTAGAATGCACGGTAGAAAATATTATTGATATTATTCTCATATGTTAAACATGATACAATGAGCCCTATATTTATATACATAACATGTCCTACTCCTAATACATATGGGATTAGGGTTATTTACTACTATTTACATAACTATTCTAACAAGCATAAATGAATCGATGCCCAGCCATAATTATGAGGTTGTGAAAGTCAGGAACATGCCAAAATAGGAGCATCTAATGCTTACTGCTGCCAAAATTGATTTAGATTTTTTATTGGGCTGTTTGACTTATAAAAGTGCTCTTCCGAATAAGTGGAACATTCTAATATTTGTACATTTTTGGAGCACTTTTGAGATCCCAACTACCCTAGTTGATTGGATGCTCTTCATAGAGAAGCAGATGATACTTGAGGCTCTTTTGGTTTCACTAATGCAACATCTAATGGTACTTGCTTAACAAATGCAGAAATGAGTATTAGTAACATTTGGATAGGAGCACCTAAATTAACAAAAATCCCCTCAAAGTAAGGTGATTTGTTATCGTAAATAACATAAAACTTTTTTTGATAAGGTCGTAAATAACATAAAACTTTTCTTTTACAAAACTAATATTCATGATAATATCAGATATTCTTAATAAATTTTTAATATAAAAAGTTAAAGCAAAGCCTGTACAATCATACTAATTATACAACTAGTATTGGACCTTGGTATTGCAATTCCTAAGTAAAACACCTTGCATTAATTTTTACTGCATAACAATCTTCATATTTTTATCCCTGTAACTTATGCCATGAACCTAATGACCCGCGGAGTTTTTTTTACAAGGTAAATAATCCCATAAAGTTTCCTTAAAATCAGAAAGCAATCGTGTTCATTTGCTCGGGGAGATGTTGGCTCACGCTTGCTTTCAGGAAACATTTGTATGATTGCAAAGTACAGGAAACTTTTTATCTTCTACCCACATCATTTGCCTGTACTGGGTTTTGTTTCTCTATTTGTTATTCTTGGATGTAACTATCCTCTAAATCCTTACCCTGTCGGTTGTGTAATCGATATTTTATTGTGCCTTCTTTTTCAGCTTTATGTTTTACTTGTCTGAAAATACTGCCAGGTTTCTGTCATCAGAAGATTGTTGCCAATTTGTTTCTTATCTGCTTATGTTCCCATCATGAAATTCCAGTCATTTTATTTAGACTTATTATACTTGCTAATTTGAGCTTGACCTTAGGGTTGTGTGTTCCAAATGTGTATAGGTAATTGGAAACGTGCATATGTAGCTCTGCAGTGTCTCAGTAAACACGTAGCTTCCCCAAAGTTATCTGTGGAAATATGCTGCCTTCGAGCCTTCAGTGGTTTAATATTTCCCATTTCGTTGTCAAACTATCTTGAAGGACATGTCTTGTTAAGCACTGGGGAGAAGTCATTTCAATGGGGTGGACCTTCAGAGGTTCAAAAAGGTTTCCTCCAAGCTTCCTCAAGCTGGGGATATGCTGCATCTGATAATGCGCTCTCTATCTCTTCTGCAAGATCTGAAATTACTGACTTTCTAGAAGCCTTTGATAAACTTCATAATTTTGCAACTATATCTTCCACTGAAATGATGCAAATTCGAGCTGCTATTCATCTTCTAGATGAAGTTAGCAATATGCAGTCAACTTCTGCCTATAATAGCCTTGATGGACCTGGTCGAAGGTAAAGTCTATGTTAGAAGTCTAGAATAAATTATCTTCCATGCTTGTGACCGTATCTTCATGCCAATTGCCAAGTTTGTAAAGGCTCAAACATTCTTTTTATGATCAACCTTTATGTTAAGTTCTCGAGCTTCTGTGTTCTGTCAATATTTGTGTATAGTGATAATCAACCAGAGAAGTGTAGTTTTTGGCAGACAAGAAAAACATATTCCAATTTTGCTTTAGATATAGACACTAAGTTTTGAAGTGGGTGGAGAATCGTAAGGTCTTAAATCCGAATCTCAGTGGAGACAAAAAACAGTAGGTGTGATTTCTTCCCATCAGCCTAAGCCTTGGTGGGAGAGTTACCTAGTACATGTGCTAGTGGGAGGTAGCAGGTGGAATAGTCGAGTTGTGCACAAGCTGGTTCGTACACCACCGCCATAAAGAAATAGATACTAAAAGTTTCAATGAGAGTAATGCATCACTCTTCCCTATGCTTGGGATTAGAGTAGAGTTGGCAAAATCTGTAAATGGTGACATAAATGGATAAAAAATTACCCCTCCCCCCCCCCCCCCCCCCAAAAAAAAAAAAACCCGATGGCTCTATGCATCAATATTCTCTGATAGATTGGCTCAGAATTTTTGTGGGTATTATTCAGCTATAGTTGCTTCTAATTAATTATCATTCATTGATGCTACTTGTCTTTTCTTCCTAGGTTTTGGGTTTCAGTGAGGTTTCAGCAGCTGTATTTTGTTCAACGATTTGGCAGACCACCATCAGAAGGTGAGCTGGTTGTGTACTCGGGGCTGATTGGATGGGCTTTCCACTCTGATTGCCAAGAGAATTTGTTTGATTCTCTTATATCTAAGGAACCATCTTGGCGAGAAATGCGCGATATGGGTGTTGGATTATGGTATACAAGTGTGGCACAACTGCGAGTGAAGGTACTTTTTTTCATTAAGATTTTGAATTCGGTTGTAGCATGGCAAGTGAGGTTTTGGAAAGTGAGTTTTCCACCACTGGAGCAAAGTGGGAAAGTGAAACTGTTGACTCCTGGAGGGGGATTTGGGAGTAGGATTTACGATATAAAACAAATCAGCTGTATCATTTGGTTATTTTTTCGGAGGTACTGTGTAGTTGTATATTCTGTAACAATTCAACAACTCCCAACTGAATCTACAGCTACTCCTCTTGCTCTTTCCTCTGAAAGGGGTGAAAGAAACAGGAAGAACCAATGTCTTATATCCTTAGCTTTCATTTTCCTATGTATTTGGCATCGCAACTCTGACTCAGGTGGGTTTTCTGCAGATGGAAAAGCTGGCAAGGCAGCAATATTTGAAGAATAGAGATCCCAAGGCATGTGCACTTCTGTATATTGCATTGAATAGGCTTCAAGTTTTAGCGGGCCTTTTCAAGATTAGCAAAGATGAGAAAGACAAACCTCTGGTTGCATTTCTTTCACGCAATTTTCAGGTAATTTTTAAACGTCTGCTACTTTATTTGTATGCCTGATACAAATATTTTCAAAGAAATGTTACCGAGTTTTGACCAATTATTTATGAGTGAGTTTTGACCCATTTATCTTGAATTGTTTCTTAAATTTTCTTTTCCAGTATCTAAATTGGGAAAGTAGGAACATGTTGTAAAGCGTATTGTTGTTATCAAATGATCTTGTGTACCGTCTTTCCATGCCCTACATTTGGGATAATTCTTATGAAAATGTGAAAGCAAATCTGACAGCGTGTTAAATTAAGTGCATAAACTTTACTTTTATATTTCTCGTACCTTCTCTTGAATTTACATCTCTTTTTTTGAGTTAAATAAGCAAAAGATTTCATTACTATTAACTTGCCTTCTCACATATTCTTCTTGTAGTTTGTTTTTTTACAAGATTTGCACATTACCTCTGTTTTAAAATGTTGAGTTCTCGATGTGAAACTGTTACTCTTCTTTGTTAATTTGTTTGTAATCCAAGTTTTAGTCTTCTGTATTTTCTTATTGAGCATCGTTACTCAACGTTTAGTTGCTTAGAAGTTTCACCCATTCCCTTTGTTTAGGAAGATAAAAATAAGGCAGCTGCTTTAAAGAATGCATACGTGTTACTGGGGAAACATCAGTTGGAGCTTGCAATTGCTTTCTTTTTGCTTGGAGGAGATACCACGTCTGCTGTCACTGTTTGTGTGAAGAATCTTGGGGATGAGCAGCTTGCGCTTGTAATTTGCCGACTTGTTGAAGGTTATGGTGGAATGCTAGAGCATTACCTTATTTCGAAATTGCTTCTCCCATCTGCTCTTGCCAAAGGTGACTACTGGCTTGCAAGCGTACTGGAGGTATTCAGCTAGAAGTTTAGATTTTAGAGAGAGTGATGCTTTTTTTTTTTTCCTTAAGGGATTGTGTTGGTTGCATCTTGTTCCCTTGTTTATATACTCATTTAAAGTTCTTCATTTGCAGTGGATATTAGGAAAACCCTCACATGCTTTTCTTAGAATGCTTGCTTTCCCAACGGGTTCCTTGAACGATAAGTCAATATTCTCATCCCGTCAACCTGCCTTCTTAGATCCAAGCGTTGGTGACTTTTGCTTAATGTTAGCAGCCAAAACTACCATGAAGAATTCTATTGGGGAGCAAAATGCTGCTGCCTTGAGTAGATGGGCGATCTTGATGAGGGCCACTGCCTTAAGCAGATGCGGTCTACCTGTAAGTTCATCTAATTCTTTTGGTTTCCCTAATTTTTGGGGATTCGCAAGCTTTTTTTTTTTTTTTGGGGGGGGGGGGGTTGGG